ATTGTAATTACTATTATTAATTAGCAATTCATTATTTGAAATTATTAATTTAATAATATAGAGAGACCAATTCAATTAGGCTGAATTTTTTTTTTTTTTTTTTTTTTTCAATATGCAAGAAATCGAACCCAATCAAAAAGCGATGGCAATTAGACATATAAAATATGTCATTATGCGAAAATGCCTACGGGTCTAGTGGATGGAAAACTCATGAGTCTCGTTCCCTAAAATGGCACGAGACGGACAGTGTAAAAAATACATGAAAGCCGCATGCGATAAAAAGCAACTTGTATACTAGACCTGACTTTAAACGGATTATGCAACTTTTCTATTTTGCGCGTTCCGCATACAAATTTACTGATTTGTTACGTGTATTTACTGGAAAGGTAATTGCCCCGGAGGACACTGAAACGCTAATTTGAAAAGCATGAAAAAATTGCGCGGTAATCCTGAGAAATGTCTCTTTGAAAAAGAATTTTTATTCACACTCACAATTTACACTGGTTACTTTCTATATAATAGTCATTTTAATGACTTTTCCAAAGAAAAAAAAAAAAAAAAGAAACCAAACTTGTTTACAGGAAATATAGAAATTTGTTTGTTTGTTTTTTTTTTGAATAAAATAAATTTTATAAATATTCAAATGTATGTTCATATAATAGAATAATACTAATTATATTAATATAATATATACAATGTTACAAAAAGGAAATTATTAAATAAAAGAAAATGTCAGAATAATTAATATAAAGATAAAAAAAAGTATATTATAATTAATTCACGAATGTGAAAATAATACTATTTATACATGAATAATTTCATGTGTTTGTTAGAAAGTTAGTTTTTATATATGAAATATGAAATGAAATGTATATACTATATATATAAACAAGGAGCAGCAAAGTCAAGGCTAAATATGTCATTGAAACGGTTGGTGCATCGAGAAACATAATATGATGCATTCATTGTAATGTTCTAATTACTCGCGGAAATGCGTTTTAATAAAGAATCATTAATGAAAAACAAGTTTTGAGAGCCGCGAAAGTGTCTGACACTTGATTTTTGCATCAATGAAACCACTGTCTATACAGGAGAAAATTAAATTTTTATTTACCATATTTATAAAATTATAATACGAAAGGAAATGATTTACAAGAAAGGAAATTATTTTTCACTCATATATATGTAATTCATAATAATTTATAATTTTCCCCATATCGTTATAACAATAAAAATCTAAGAAATTAATAAAAATTAAAGTTATAATTAATAATTAAGTTAAAGAATTTAGTTTCTCTAATTAAATTTTAAATTTAATTAGTTTAAATGTGAATTAATTAATATAAAAATCAGATTGATGTTCTATTATAAAATTAATTGCACAAATATTTCTTTCTTTTGAATTAATGATTATAGGACATTAGAAATTATATTAGACATAAAATCAATATTGACATATTTTGATTCATTGTTGTTCGTCAGAACAAAATGTTGGCAAATTGCCCAAAAAAAAAAAAAGAAATTCAGCTCAATATTTATTTAAAGTTATATAAAACGAAATTGATAATGAAAGCGCAATTGTGAAAAAAAATTGCTCAAAAATGCAATATAAACAAATTTTTCAGTATTTAAATATGATTTTTTTCTTTTAAATAAATTATATACATTTTGTTTAAAAAAAAAATATACTCAATTGTCTACGATGTAAATATACTTGCTATCTAAGAATAGAATATGAACAGGTCTGATACTATATTCCACATGTGGTACTGTTTTATTGAACATAAATTTTCCCGATGCTATGACAACGGTGAATCGAAAAAATAAGGCATTATTTGTTTTTTTTTTTTTTTTTGAATGACATTTAGATTTTTTGGAAATTTAAAATAGTTTTATTGAATGAGAATAAATTTTTCTTTTTAATATTATTTTAAAAGGCATAATTTAAATTTCTATTATTATTTGAAATTTAAATTACATTGAACTTGCTCTTTGTGTTTAAAATTACTCAAAAAAAAAAAAAAAAACATAATTTAATTAAAGTAACTAGTTTTGTTATTTAAAAATTGAAACAAAATTTGTTTAAAATAAATTGTGTCTATTCAAAAAAAACTAAAATATATGGTTCAAATATAATTTTTCTCTAAGTGAACTAAAATCAAAGAATTTTCTTGAATTTAAAAAGACTTTATTTGATTTAAACAATTTTTTTACTATTTAAAAAAAAAATTTATAAATTTGTGAGCAAACTAGTTATTAACATTCGTCAACAGCGGATGGTGCGGGTACTTCGCAAAGAGAAAAATCTCTAGTTTCTTTCTATATATGAAATGTACCAATCAATAAACCTTCCAGTACAACCGTATGTTAATTTAGGAGTGTTATATTAATTAAAAATATCCGTGAAAAAATAACATTCAATAATCGATTAAAAATATATCTAATAAAGATATAATTCAAAAATAATCATTAAACGAAAAATCCCCAATAATAATTGCTCAAATGGGATGTAACCGAGATGACAAGAATCATAGTCTATGGGGGTTGACTCACTAATCTATAAGCTTGAAAGCTCTCGCAAGGGGTTGACATCAATTGCGCGCAACCATTTTAACCCTTATAGGGTTAAAATCCCCTTCGATTTAAAAATTCTTTTTTTTTATTTTCTTTATTCTCACAGTCTCACCTGCAGATGGATCGGCACCTTTTTCACCGGCGTACTCATCTCGTTATCTATCTAGTCCTTTTTATTTTTTTTCTTTTCTAGTTGAATCGAGAAATATCTCTATAATACGCACTCACAAATAATGGAAAAATTATTATTTGACGAAGCACTTTTTTTTTTTTTGAATGAAAAAAAAATTTTGCTTGATCACAACAACACACGGTTTAAATTTTAAATGACAATGAGAGAAAATTTTATCCTATTTTTATGCCTGAACAAGAAAAGAAAATAAATTTTTAGCTAATGCTATGATTTTTCTTATGTGTTATATATTGAATGCAGTTTGAGATATCACGAGTTTGCGCGTCTAACAGAGCCGGCAATCGACTAATGTCGCGATTGAGCTCTGCGGCCTGCGCACCAAGGTAGAAATTCCCCCCCTCTACTATAAAATGTTTCCTATATCTCCCACCCTCCTAATTTTTTTTTTTGCAGTCACATATATATGTTTTTTTTTTACCTAGATATGAACCTTTTTTATCAAGTCATATTATTTTGAAATATTTATTTTGAATTTTGAAGAAAAAAACCAAAAAGAACTTGATTTTCTCTGATGGATTTTTAAGTCTTTTCAAATAATTTTATTTAGAAAAAATTTTATTTGATCCAAAGAATGAATAAATAAAAAATAATTTTGCTGAGAGACTAAATTATAATTTGATTGTTGTAATTAAATTTTTTGTTGGCACTGATCAACATTTTTAATATGCTGAATGTTGTAATAAGATAATTATGAGATAAAATTATCAGAATATTAAGTTTTTTTTTTAAAAGATCTAAAAATTTGAATTTTTTTTTTTAATTTAAAGATTAGCCTTATTTTTCAAACTAATTTAATTTGACACGTATTTTAAAATAAAATTTTCTTTTGCTGCTGATGTGAAATAATGAAAATTCCTATGGAAAAATTCTTAAACAATAATTAAGAATTAAAGAAAATTATTTAAATTAAAAACTTATAAAAAAACTTTTTGTAAAATTTTTTAAACCAATTAAAATAATTTTTTTAAAAGAAATCTCAATACAACATAAATACACGAATAAAGATTTAAAAATTTGTTACTATTTATCTACTGTACACTGATAAAACAGCTACCGCTTTCTCTATTCTTTCAAAAGACATCAGTCGATAATATAATTTAAAAGTTACTTCCAAGTAAAATCATAAGATGGACTTTATTTAAAAAAAAAATTATTTAACTCTAATTCAAAAATCGTCTATTGTAAAATTAATTATTATTTATTTTTATAAAAAAAAAAAATAAATAAAAGAATTCCGATTTTAAGAAGCCAAATGCCAAGTAACATTAAAAATACGTCTAATATTATATTCTTTTTGATGAAATATTTGAAAAGAAGTAAAAGTCATCAATGAAATTAAATTCGATGTTGCGATCTATAATGGATCTTGTTCTTTCACGATTTCTTTTGAAAATATAGGAAAGTTGTATTCAATCAAGTCTTCTTTCTATTTTCTTTTTTTTTCATAAAATGAAACTAGATACATATCCCGTTCAAATATTGTGAGTTAAAAATTTTCTCAAGTGAGTTTGGAAAAAAGTCGTCTAATTATTTAAGGGCCTGAAAAATATTATTCCACAAAATAAAAACTCGGCAGGAGATTTTCAAACCGCCAATTTCACTATGGGTGCCTTGTCGGCTTCTTTCACAAAAGTAAGAATGACCAAGCAAAAAAAAAATTTTTTTTGATGAACGAAACGAAAGTTTAGTTGATTATTTTTTTTTTCAGAAGATGCGTGAATTTCATTGCAAATTCAAATACTAAAAAAAAGATATTAATAAATAATATTAATAATAATAATATTAATACAAAAAGTAAATGTTTATACAGTAAAATAAATTTATAACTTGCTAAATGATATAAAATAAAAAATTAACCAGGTGTAAAATATACAATAATTATTATCAATTTTAATTTGTTTAATTTTTAATTATAAACAAATTAAATAATTCCAATCGACAGAAATGAACAAAAAAAAAACTCTGATAATAATGAGGATAATTTTATTCGTGGTTTTAAAATTAATTAACTTTATAGTATTAGATTGTAAGTAACTAATTTAAAAATAATTGGTCATGAAAATAAAATTTAATGCACTTTTTTAAAGAAAAATCAAAAATATATTTCAATTAGAGAAAAATTAAAGTTTAATAAGTAATTAAATATTGGAAGACACTTAACAAAAAGGAAAATACAAAATACTAAAAAGAAATACAAAATGCAAAAACACTAATTAATTAAATATCATTTAAATAGTAAATTATTAGAAATTTATTTCTTTACTATTAATAAAAAAAAAATAAAATGTATCTTCGCAAAATATGTTTAAGATATATAGAGCAAAAAAATTTTTGTTTATTTACAATCTAGTTTAAGTGTAAATGCTAAACAATTAATAATGTAAAAATGAGAAATATATGAAAAATATGCTTACTGTAGAAAACATTTATAGTAAGTATAAAATTCCATAATTTTTAATTATCGCATATTTCGTGATCTGATAGAATCTGTTTTTTTCGCTACTGTTTTTACTTGTATAGAAGTATCCACTAAAACGTCTAAACCTTCATTCTTATTTCTTGGACTTGCAACACCCATTCGCCCCTCGTGTCTAATTACAACTTTTCTCTCACACGATTTTAATAAATTTTTCATTCGTTTTCCTGAATTTTTAGATTCTTTTCCACTTTCCTCATTGACCTGCAAAGAAATGTTTATATCCTTTATTAATCTATAAATATCCTTTTAATTAATAATAATAAATGAATCTTTAATTAAATGATAATAAACATATTTTACATACTATTTGAACTGCAGAAGATTTATAATCAACTTTAGGAAATTTAAATTCCTTTTCAGGATTATTTTCATCTTGCTGTTGCTTTTTAAGTGGAGACAAATTGAATTTAAGGGCAGAAGATTCTTGTAAATTTTTTAATGGTGTAATTCGATTTCCTTTAGAATCATTAGAAATTCCTAATGGTTGTGGTGTCAATAACCATTCATTATTTTTTCCATGTACATTCTTGACTAATTTTGTATCAGTACCTCTTATATATTCAGCAATTGGTGATTTTACATATTCATATAAATTTTTTCTTGCATCTGGAGTTCGAGGACTCTTTAGACTATTTATTGATGATTGTGAACTGAAAATATTATCCATTTGAGGAAAATATTCCTTCTTTTGTTTTACATCATCATTACGTGGACTTTTTCCAGGAGTAAAGAAAAATTTTTTTTTTGGAAATTTTTTCTCTTTCTTTTCGACACTCTTTACTTCACTAATGGGAGTTTTTAATTTCACTGAAATAAAGAAAGCAGAAATTTAGTAAGAAAAAAAAAAGGATTAAATAGTTTGTAAAATTAAAAAAAATGTACCTGATAAAATGGGTGTTTCTGTTTTTTTGGATTTTGTAGTATTTCCTAATTTAGAATCAGGGGACATTGGATTTTTGAGAATATGGAAAATAGATTTTCTTTTTTTCAGTAGAAAATCTTGATATTCCATGCAATGATTTATTGTATTTAGAAAATCAATATTAGTTGCAGGTAATGAAAGAGATTTATTGGGACTTGCTAATTTTGCAATAAGTTCTGCAGTTTTCTTTTCATTCGATTGATTAGAAACTGTTGGATCATTCTTGTCAATTTCCATCATTAATTTCGCTGTTTCAAAACATCTTTGTCTTCTTTGTGCAAGTTCGGCTAAAAAACTTTTATCCATATCATCTTCACAATTAAAACTAAACTCATCATTAGTTTCATTTTCATGAGAAATTGATGTTTGTTTCTTTGTGGAAAATTGTTTCTTTTCATTTTGTTTTGAAAAATATTTCTTATTTGTCAATGTTTTACCATCTGTGATTGACAATTTTTTTGGACTAAACGTTATATCTCTGAAATTTCGTGATTTATAACCGAGTCGACTCTCATTTAATGCAGTGTCATCTAAAGAAGCCATTTGACGATCACAGGTTGATTTTATATTATTGAATCTTATAACCGGAGAATCTGGTAAAGACATACTTCTTCTTAATTTTTGTGGTGAAATTGGTTGTGGTTTAAATACACCATTACACATACTCTCCCAATATTCAAAAGAATTATTTGTATCATTTATTGGACAATTTTTCTTCACTTTACTGAATTGTTTTTTGTCAGAATTTGGAGTGTCATTAAATTTAAAAATACCTTTAGGTGTTTCTTTATAAGAAATTTCGTAATTTTTTAATTTACTCTCTTTATTGTCAAGTGGTGTTGATGAGAATCTTTGCATTTCTTCTAAACATGTTTCATCCACAAATTCAATAGTTTGATTTTCTATTTGTTCTTCTTGAATGTCTGAATTTATTAAACATTCCGGCATTGATTCATCTTCAATGAATTTACATAATTTACGAAATTCTTGTGTCATTCGATGAACACTTACACCAGAATAATCTTTCTGATCAGATATTGATGGCATAACAGACTCTTCAATTATTGTCACTAATTTCTCTGCAAATTTTGCTGGTGACAAATGAAATTCTTGTGAAAGCCTACTCAATACTCTTTGATGGGATTGTACACCACTTTTGTCTGAATTTAAACTTCTATTAAAATTTGTCAGAGCATTCCATAATTTACTTGGTTCTTGACGAGATGTTACAACTGTAGGTTGCACATTATTTTGGTTTTGTTTTAATTCTAAGGTTTTACTGATTTTATTCAAAACATCAGTTAGTGGTGATACGGGAGTTACATTTTTTTTCAATTTTTCTGGAGTTTGACAAGTTTTTATGTTTTCTGCAGAACTTTGCTGTTTGTGGGTATTTAATTGAGATCTCAATTCAGTTACTTGATGAAAAATTGTAGTATCTGCATCTATTGTTTCAATGGATTTTACATTAATTTTCTTCTTTTCTAATTCTATATCCATATCATTTAATTCATAAAGATCATTTGATTGTGATTTTTCCAATTCCATAGTACCTTGAAAAAGTAATATTAATATATGAAAAATTGTACGAAATTAAAAATGAAATATTTGAAAATCAATTGTTTTATTAAAAATTCTGTAGATAAGATTATTTATTCTAATAAGCTATGAATAAAAAAATATATTGTTTATTAAAATATTTGCATATTTAAACAAAGACATTTCAACAAAATGAAGAATAAAATCAACTTAATAAAAAAACTTTTCGTCAAGTAATAATAAATTATATAAATAAAGTAAGTACATTATTAATTATTTAAATATTTCAAAAGTTTACAAAATTATTGAATTGAGGTTAGGATAATATTAATCTTTTCTAAAGAAAATACTTTTTTATAAAGTAAATAAAAATATTTATAAACTTACGATTATACTCTAATAATGTAGATGTAAAATCGCCACTACGGCGTCTTCTAAAACTCATTGTTTTTATAAAAATATCCACAAATATTCACAAATTTTTCAACCGACATAAATCACAAACAACTTTAAAATAACGACAGTTGCGATACGTTAGATACGTCAAATAAACAACTTTTAACGTTTCTCGTATTTCACGGTAGAAACACCTTAAACTTACGTAAATCTTTTACGCTTTCAGTATTTGATTGGCGCGCACATTTAAAAAATTATTATGAGAGGATAAAATAATAAATAATAATCTTAATAAAGAAAAAAGAGAAAAAAATAATAATTTTATTCACTCACCGATCGTAGAATTTGCTCATCGTTACAATAGTTAGAAGTATCTTCTGGCATCTTCCTGTCTGTTAACCTGAAAAAAATAAAAAATTTACTTAATGTTTTATTTATATTTCTAATAATTATCGATATAATAAATAAATAAATAAATTTATTGTATACAATAAATCAAAACAAGATTGCAATAAACAAAATTATAACCTTAATTCTATTATTCAATCTCACGTGTACGATGCGCGGGCATGACGAAACCTAACCTCAAAATAAACGAAATAAACAAATTGTAAGAATAGTAATTGTTGTATACTTAATTCATTTTAAATAAATATAAACCAAGGTAATTAAAAATGAGAACATAACATATTATTAATAAGACTTTTGATTCGAAAAAAAGGTTTAAATATAAAATTTCTGTGTATTTTTTCAATATATTTATATATGTTTCAGAACAAAAAGAATCTACGAAGTAAAAAATAAATGGAGTAAAATGTTACCAAACATATTCAGAAAGTTTAGTGAAAGACAATCTATTTTGCGAAGTTATGTTAATGATAAAAATATATTTTCTACTTTCAGAAATAATAGTAATAAATTCACTAAATACAAATGTTCAAGTATCTCTAGTGAACTCACAAAAAAAGATAAATATCAATTCAATTCTCTTTTAAAAAACACTCAAAGATTCTGTACTAATATTATAACCGTAAAAAAACAAAATTTTGTAGAATCTGAATCATTCATTTCTCAAAATAAAAAAATTACTGATGAAGACATTGAAAAATTATTAAATTTAGATTGGTCAAAAATTACAACACAAGAATTTATTGATAATTTTGAAAAACTTATTTTGTACATGCAACAATTAGAAAATATACCTAATATCAATGTTGATAATATTCTACAAGGTATTTCAGAATTATGTAGCAATTTTTCTACAGAAGAAATAATTTCAATCTTTAAATATACGTGTTCTTTGAAATCTAAAGAAAACATATTTGTTGATTTTAAGCAGAAAATATTACTAAGTTTCAATCAGGAGTTATTACATAGACTTTCAAAATTAAAATTAGAAGAAATATTTTTTCTTATTCGTATCTACAGAAGTAATAAACTTGCGAGAAAAGTTCTATTTGTTATAAGAGGAATCTTTAAAATTGACAGGAGAGTGAAATATTTGTCTTTAGAAGAATTATGTCAATTGATGAATATACTTGGCTATTGTTTCAATCTTCCACTGAATTTTTACATTATTGAAGACGCTATAGAAAAAAAGAATTGGGACACCTTCAATGAGACACAAATTTTTAACATAGTATATGGATTTTTAAAAAACGAATATAAAATTAAAAACAAAGATACTAGAATACAAGTTTATAAATTAATTCTAAACAACATTAATGAAATGAATCCTGAATATATAAATCCTAGTTTGCAGTATTTAATGTATGTATCATTTTGTTTCAAAACAAAAATTATTTTTCTATATTTTAAAATTTTTAATACTAATTAATTAATTATTCACACAGTCTAATATATAAAATAATTGACGATGTTGATGAGATTATTCGAAAATTTTTTAAATCCATTGAACCAAAATTGGAGGAATATTCTTTGAAAAATTTGATAAATATTTTAGGATTAGCTTCACATACTTTGATTCATGAGAAAACATTAATTAATTGTATTCTGGAGAGGTAAGAGTTTTTTTTAAAACTATTTCTAATTATAAAATTTAACTTATTTAAATATATTTCAAAAGTCTTTACTAATTATTAATATAATGTTGATTGAATCTTAACAGGTTTAATAAAGAAATGCATAATTTAACGTTACCAGATATTGAACGAATTTCTTGTAATATGACATCATTTAATTACGATTCTAATCATCCTTTTTATATAAATTTATTAAAAGAACTAAGAAATCCAGATCGAGAGGAAGAAATTTCAAAGTAAGTTTGATAAAAAAAAAAAAAAATTAAAACAAAATAATTTATTATTAATGTTTTATGTAAAATTATTTCAGACACAGCAGAGCATTTATTCGCACTCTACAAAGCTTAGTTTACGTAAACATTTATCCCACGGATTTAATATCAAAAATAATGGATTCTGAATTTATAGATAAAAATTATAAAAATGTGCACGCAATGAAAAGTTGCCATTATTTCATTGATCAAAGTATGAGTATTGAGTGTCCAAATTATACAGGGCATATATTAAATGAAAAAGTGCGAACGTTCTTTTCAAAGGTGAATTAATTAAAAATAAATAAACTCAATGAAAGAATATTTTAAAGATATTTTTATCTAATTTAATAAAAATATATTATTTCAGAAATATAAATCTCACGAGCTAACTGAATTTAATTTAAAAAACAAAATTACAAAAGATGTCATTCAAATGTGTGAGGTAATTATATCACTGAATGAAATTTGAATTTATTGTTATTAATTTTATTATGTTTATTTTCACAGCGGGTATTCAAAAATCCAGTTTATATGTGTAAAATTTTGCCCCACTTTTTTAATGAAGATATTATATTTTGTTTTGATGAAAATGATAAACTAATTTCACCAGAACCATTCTTATCACCATTGCAAAACGGATTGATAAAACATATTCCTGAAGAGGCAAAAAATTACAAATGGTTAACTGTGATAATAACTAACTGGAAAATGATACATAAAAACAGCGAAGATTATAGTAGTCTTTTAGCAATGAAATGTAGACAACTAAAAGCTCTTGGATATATACCTGTTGTTGTAAGTTCATTTTTCAAATTTTTTTAATTAATTGTACTGATTATTAATTTTTTAAACCTAAAACTAATTTCTCATTTCAGCTTTCCCATCAGGAATGGTATTTAAAAGCAAACGATGAAAATTGTGAGAAATATCAAGAAGATTATTTAAAAAAACTGTTAAATGTTAAATAAATTGTAAAAAATTTCATTCAAATGAACATCCGATACTTTAGAGACTAATGATTTAAATATTTTAAATTCTGTACGTTTCTACTTTTTCTTTATTAATAAATTATAGATTGTTTTTAAAAAATAAAATAAAATAGCATTTCAATATAAATTTTAAATCAACAAGTAGATATTAATTACTGAAGTTAGCAGCTATTTTCTAACCATGACATTCTTAATTAATTTTTTAAAAAAATGCTCGAACGCCGTATTCCAAAATTATATATAAGATCTACACAAAATTTAAATTATTTAATATTGGGTTTTGTTTAAAATAACTATAAAGAAAATTTGTATGAAGCCGTTATTGAAACACTTGAGAAAAAAAATTAGAAATATAAAATACAAAGTCAAAGTAGAATATTTTCAAACAAAATAAATTTACCTATTCAAGATGTTGTTTTTATGAAACGTATTTTTCATATCCATTATTTTTCCACACAATAAAAATGAAAACTATAAAATAATATACAATTCTTTCAAACACACTGCACGTTTTTGACAACTAATTTTGAGGTTAGAAAGCACCGGTGGTAAAGTTCACAAGTTGGTTTAATTCACTGTCACGATGATTACTTTAAAGAATACTATATTTGAAAGAAGAATTATCAATAGTATCTTTCAGTATTGAAAAAAGTAATAAATATTATTGTAAAATTATTAAAAACACTAATTAATTCAGAAATTGTTACACTGTTTCGTGAACACTATTCGCGCCATCAACGTACTTGAGCGTCGTCATGGAAACTCATGATGACCAACAGTAACAAAAAAAAAACTAACTAGAATTTTCTAGTAACTCATGTAATTGTAAAAAAAATTACTGCTAATATATATATTTTTACTACATAACAAGCTGTTAATTTCTTTTTCGAAATGTGGTTTTGCATTTAAAACAAAAAATAATTTTAATACTTTTATTTTGTTAAGTTTACTCGATGTTATTGAGTATAAATTCCTCCAGACTTAATGGAGCCAAAACCCACATTTGTAACTAGATCGGAATGCACACGATAGAATCGTACGCGAAGTTGTGTGTAGGCCCAAAACAAGATTTCATTTCTTAATTATCAGTTTTAAGTGATTCCATTTCTTTGTTAAATATTAGTGTAATAATTTCCCCCGAATTCCTATTTTGCATCTGTTGATTTCTCGCATAATTCAACTCGATTTAATAAATCAACGTGGAAATAAGGGAAGTGTGCGATTTGGTCAATCTGCCATGATAGATCAGAACGCGTCTTCTTTGCAGTGAGAAAAAAGTCGGTAATCATTAGCAAAATGCGAAATTTATGCTTTTCGGAGCAGATAATTACGGTGAGCATGAAAATATTTGACAATCAACATTTTCAAATATTAATCAGTGAAGTAGAAATATGACAGGGTCAATTACATTTTTTTTCTAACAAAGTCATTTTATCGGATCGTTTGGCTTCGTTTGCGGCCATTTCTGTAAATCGCCAAGAACTCCTGTGTCAAATTGCCAAAAAATATTTTACGTTTTTACAAATAGTGTATATAAATCTAGAAAGTTATTTTACATTCTTGAATGATTAATCGATTTAATTCGTGTTCGAATAAAAACAACCAACACACCCTGAAATAATTGGATTTTTTTTTCAAGTGTCAAGTATGTATCTTGAGATTGCTCAGAACTTGACCCTGGAAAAACGGCGAACTTGATTTTTTTTTTAATTAATTAATTAATTGAAAAATATTATGGTATTTATTTTTTTAATTTACATTTTAATAAAGTTAAAGGATGTTTAAATTATTGTATTTTATCAGCTTGTCATGTGAGAAAGTCTCAAGTATATGATACTCAAATAGCTGTAAAAGTATTATTTTTGCACAGCATTGAAAAATTTATTTACAACAATATTTAATTGATTTAGAACATTTACCACAAATTAAAAAAAAAAAAAAAAAATACGAATAAAGTCTTGGATTTTTTCTAAATTTATGTCTACTAAAATTTAATAACTAGAAGGTTGTTTTAAAAAATATTTTCATGGTTTTGTAAAACAAGTATAAAACTTTACTACAAGTTTTTGTGATACTAATAATTGTTTTTTAATCTTAAAACTTTTTTTTAGTCTTTATCGATTTCTAAATTTTATACTAGTTAATGTATTATAATTTTAAAAAAATATGAGTGAGATTTAACGATTTTGACGTTTTAAAAATGTGACAAGTCATATTTCTAAATGAAATTGAGATTTAATGAATTTTGTTCACATAATTGATTACAATAAGTAATTCATTGTCTTGTTTTCAAATTTAATTGTTTGTCATTTGTTTGTTTGTTTTTTTTTTTTAGTGAATGCAAAAATTACAGAATGGTGGTAGATTGCTTGTCAGTTCAGGGCTCGATAGCTGTAGCGAGGAAGCAGGAGAGAAGATTAGGCACCTCTGTCAATTCCAAAATGCAGCCTAATGTAGGTACAAATGGTGGTGGGATGACACCCAAAGAACTTTCTGATAATGACGACCTAGCTACTTCCCTCGTATTGGATCCTTATTTAGGATTTACCACTCATAAAATGAATGTCAGGTAAAAATTTTGAAATTTATTTTCAATTCTGTTTCTAAAAAAAAAAAAAAACTTCCAGTAAATTAATTTTGTTTAAAATTCTATATTATTGTGTGAATTAATTTTTAAAATCAAATTTAAAAACAGGTATAGGCCTTTAAAAGCGAATAAGGAAGAGCTTCGGAAAATTATCAAAGAGTTCATCCAAACCCAAAATTATGAAAAAACCTACAAAAAATTAATTGGAGGTGATTGGGGAGCTCGTCTACCTCATACAAAATCGAAACAACAACAAGGGAACTTAAAGGAACACGTAAGTGTCTAAATATTTAAATTTTCTTCAAGGAAAAAATAATTTTTTTAATTAAATAATTTTCTTTTTAGATATACCGATATTTAAGGGTTTTCGATAAGGATTCTGGATTTGCTATTGAGGCTTGCTACAGATATTCCTTAGAAGGTCAAAAGGGTGCAAAAATAAGCGCAACTCGTAAATGGTTGAAACACGATGAAATTCCTTGTCTCGTGGGATGCATCGCAGAATTGACGGAAAAGGTAAATAAAATTTTCATTTTGAATGAAAATTCATCAAGTAGTGAATAAAATTTTTTTTTCAACTTAAAATTCATTAATTTTACTTCATTTTCGTTTAGGAGGAAGCTGCTTTATTACATCCGGGAAAAAATGACTTTTCAGTCATGTTTAGTTGCAGAAAAAATTGCGCTCAACTTTGGCTTGGTCCTGCAGCATACATCAATCATGATTGCAGGGCAAATTGCAAAGTAATTGTTCTTAACTCATAGAAACTTTTTAAAAATGCAATAAAATATTTTTAAAAAATTGCAATAAAAATAAAACTCTCTCTTTATCGAAAGCGAATAATTATCAATAGAGAGATTTTGTGAGAATACAATATTCCAGAAAGTGAAAAATATATTTTTTTTAGTTTGTTGCAACCGGTCGAGATACAGCTTGCGTTAAAGCCTTACGAGATATTGAAGCAGGCGAAGAAATCACTTGTTTTTATGGCGAAGATTTTTTTGGTGATGGAAATTGCTATTGCGAATGCGAAACCTGTGAAAGGCGTGGAACAGGCGCATTTGCTAGTCAAAAACTTGGAGATGATCAATCATCTGGTAAGATTAATTAAAATTTTTTTTTTTCCTTAAATAATTCTTAAATAAATAAAAAAAAAAAGAAAAGTGGATTAGAAAAAAAGTTGAATAGAAATTAATTTTTATATTTCAGGTTATCGGCTACGTGAAACTGATAATCGTATAAACCGGACAAAACATCGACAACAACCATTGAACAGAAACAAGCAACCTCAAATAGAAAGCACTCTCACTGAGAAAAATGAATTATTAGTTGGAAATGCTGCGGTAACGCCTCAATCGTTATGCATGAAAGAAAGAAGAAAAGGCCTGACTAAATACGATGCCGAACTTATAGCACAAGGATGTCGATTCTCTGATATTGCTCAACAACAACCACTTTTGTTGAATAATGAAGAGAATTCACAAGAAAATCAACGACAACAAAATAATAACAACGCTGTCGCTGGATCGGCAACGAGAAATCTACGCAATAAGCAAGTTAATAAGACTGAACGAAATAATAATAGAAATAATATGAAGCGTTTTAGTGCTTCACGACTTCAAAAGAAAAGGGGTAGAACAAATCAAAATAAAAGTTCATCTTCATTGCTTGATGATTTAACAGAGGATCATAGTGAAATTGAAGCATCACACAGAAAAGAAGATTCCGATCGAGTATCAAAAGAACGAGATTGTGCATATTTAAATTCTCACAATCATCACATGGAAAATTCAATTAGAGATGATGAAAGTCAAATTCCAAATTTAAGATCAGCTGCCACAGGAAATTACATTCCCAAGCAACGTGGATGCAATAATTTCACCGATAGATTGTCAGCTCACTGCCCCTCAAATTCAGAAGCTCACAATAATAAAAACAAAACCTCTGAACATTCCTCATATGATAAAGAACATCATTCTTCGTTTGAGGAGAATAAAAGTTTTGCTCATTCGAAACTCTACAATACACAAAATTTAGATAAAAATGAATCTGTTTTACAAACAAAAAATGGACATAGCAATTATCTTTGTGTCAGTACATGTAAAATTGAACGCTGTGATCATGAAGTGCTGAACGTAAATAGACTCAAAGATTCAGCATCACCATCTCGAACAGATGAATCGTTGAACCAATTTTTTTACGATAAAAAAGTCACTAAACACAATTTGAGAGATTCAATGCCACTTGATCCAAATTGTCGAAAATCGCCAGTACATGGAAAAGCACCGAAAAATTCAACTTATCTCAGTGAAACAAATCAATCTGATGATTTTCATATGAAAAATTCTTTAGGCCTATCAATGGAGACATTTAGCGATGATCTTGTAAAATATGATCAAGATAAAAATTCCATTATCAATTCAATGGAACCATCAATTGCTGAAGGATTTCATGAGATAAATTCACTTGAAAGTAGTTCAAATAATGAATTATCAAAAGCTAAACTTCATCGAATATCCGAATCGGAAATAGATACAGGAATTGATAATTGTGATCAAACAAATTTTGACGATTCAATTGATACAAAAAAATCCGAAGATAATCGAAATTTAACATTAAAAAGATCATTACCAAAACGAAGTGAATATTTCGATGTTGCTTTACGTCCACGAAAAGAACAAAAAACAAAATCAAGTCGAAAATCAACGAAGTCACGTAATAAAAAATCTCGAAGTCGTTTAACAACAGGAACAATATCAACGTCTAGTAAAAAGAAACTTGCTTATGTTGCAAATCCAAGCGGTAGATTAACAAGAAGTCAAAAAAAAGATGTCGATAAAATTATTAATACAGCTGTTGTTGGAGCAGCAGCCGACGATGATTCGGGCATTCAGGGCGATATTTATGAATTTAGCGAAAAGGACAGTAATCTTGAGAGTGTTAGTTTGTCATCGGTTATGAGACATAAATTTGACAGACGTTCTCCAATTCAGGAGACAAATTTACCAGAAGATATGGGAATACCAGAAGAAACAAAACCAGAAATTAAGGAAGAAATTAAAATTGAGAAGAATTTAATTTCTGAAGATCAATGGACTAAGAGCAGCTCACAGGAACAGAGTTATAACTTTAATAGCAATAATCCGTCTAGAAAAAGTTCTATTAAAATTGAAGAGAAGCCGAATGGGTAAATGATTAATTATGCAATTTTTGCAAACTAAACATAAAAATGTACTTTTCAAAATTTAATTATTGCACAATTTTAATTAATTTCATTACAATTAAATTTAATTCATTTTTAAAGAAATTTTTCTTTTTTTTTTTTATTTTTCCTACTTTACTATTTTATTTCAGCATATGAAATGTCTGCTTTATTGTGATCTTCTATTTTATTTTAATAAGGAAAATTTAGAAACTGCAAATTATACACATCATAATTTTTTATTATCATGAAATTAAATAAGGTGATCATTAAGTTTCAGATTCTCTAAAAGTTGTTTTTGAAATTCATTTATTTTTTGTTTCCTGAACATAAAGAAATAAAAAATGATTTTTTTTCAGAGTTTTTATGTTCTTTGTGAAAAAAAAGGTCAGAAAATATTTTCTAATAACTTTATTTTAGAAAAATATATTTAAATAAAATATTTTTTCAATATTTTATCAAATTAAATTTTTTTTTTTATTAAATTTAAAAAAAATTTCTAATAAAAATATTTTGAATCAATATTTTCTACTAAAATTGAAGAAGAATCGTGAAATAATTTAAGAAAAATGAAAAAATATTGGAGCAAAGAGAACGTATAAATAATTCGAAATTCTATTTTTGAAAAAAGGAGTGTGCGCATATTATCAGTGATTGATTATTTAAATTTTTTATAGGATCGTCATTCATAACGAGAAAAGTTTTCTGAAAGTTCCTGCATTGCCAAATTATCAATGGCAAAATGGAAATTCGGATTGTCCAGCATATCCAACAACACCTGAGAAAACAAGTGGAAGATTGAAATTGACATTGCGTATGAAACGATCACCAGTTGTGGATGATAATATGGAATCGGGTACAAGTCTCAGTGAAGATAGTTATGAGCCCGAATATGAAGTTGTTGAAGTCGAAGGTGTTGAAAATACGAGGCGACGAAAAAAACATAAAACACGAAATCGCGAGAGGCGACACAAAAGACGTGGACTCGATTTTAATCCACCCCCACCACCTGTTAAAAGGCTACGATTGCTTTTGGGAAATGAGTCAATCTCAACAATTGATTTGTCTCATTCTTAACAATTAAGTTTCCCCCAGCTTGTAATAACAAAGCATCATTCTTCTAGATAAAACGTTAGCAGAGCTACGAATTTTTAAATTCCATCATTGGAACAAGTTATATATATATATATTATATTTAGCTTAGAATTATTTAAGTTATATGTGTCAGAAAATGATTTTCGTTCTTAAAATTGAAATTAATCTTTGCAAGCAATGAAAATCATTAATGATCGATCACATTACGATTGGAATGAACTTTTACTTTTGCTTTTTTTTTCTAGTGAATTTCACACTTTGTGTGTTTAAAATTGTATTTGTTAAAGAAGAAGTGTTCAACGGAACAATAATACAGTTCTACTAATTGTTTCACTAATTTTAAATACCTATATGTGTTCGATGCAACAATAACGTTCATTCCAATCGTCAATCTGTAATATTGCAGTTTGTAAGAGTGAGATCTGTATATTTTTGTTTTGTATGTACATTTATTCTTAAATTGAGTAATTTAGATGTTAGAAGTCCACTTTCTTTTATCTATCTTTCAAATCTAATTTGGTTATTGTTTTCCGACGTATATTTATAAAGGAGTTCGTCGTTTTTTCTTATTCTTTAGAAAAAACGAATGATAATAATTTATAAATTGGTTTTTTAGCGTGATTATATTTTCTTATATCCTGCACATTATTCGTGCAGGAAAGATAAAAAAAAATCCAATGAAGGATTTTCCACTGTTTAAATTGGATAAATTAATTCAAATCGTGTTAAAGTTATCATTTATATATACATATATATATATATTGTGATACGTAAAAGTGATTTGCTTTTCAAATTAAAAGTGTAGTTTTTATTTTTTGTGCGGGAAAAAAAAGAATGAAAATGTACGAAAATTTTAACATTGACTCGATTTGAATTAAATGACATGGTATTTTTTCGAAAAAGAAATACAAAAAAGAAACGTCGGAAATTCCATCATTTGCGCATACTTATACTATGTATAAATAATTATCCTGTAATAAGTAATTTAGCTAAATATTAGGAATGATTAATTATTGAGCCGAAGAGCTTAGTTAGATTTTACATGGAATTGTAAATAGCGCTTAAGATTAACGAGTTCATGACTGTATTCAGTATTTTGTTATCACTTAGTGTATACACATACCGAATACAATATTGAATAAGTGACTAAGTATTATCTGCAAAATTGAGAAATATGCAATAACGCCAGTTTTTTTTTGTCCGAAAATTTATCAGTTTTTCATCTTAAACGAATTTCTGAAAATATTTTTCGACTACTTTTTGAAATTATAATTATAAGTTATTAATTTTTTTTTTAATTCGCAATTATTTTACGACACTAACGCTTTTATTATCTCGTCCAAAGAGGCACAAACTTTTAATACTTTTAGAAAGTGAATATCTTGTTTTTGTATATTTATTTTTTTAAAATTGTATTTTGCGTTCTTCGGAATTTTTAAAATTTACTTTTTTTTTAAATCTATTTATTAAATCTGGTTATTTTTAAATGAAAAAAAAGTTAGATTTATTGTTAATGATTTTTAATTGAAAGTTTTTAACAAAATTTTTTTTTTCAATTTTTAATCATAACATGAATATTTCTTAATGGAATTTTATTAGAACTTGAAAAAAATATGAATTAAAATTTAATTTTTATTAAAAGTTGCAGTAGATGTGCAATATTTTTTTTTGCATATATAAAAACAAATTTTGGTAATAAAAGAAAGAAACGAAATAATTCAGCATCGTTTGAAAATACAGGCAAGACCTACATAAATAATTGAAAATTCATTTTGAATTTCAAGAAAACATTCACTGAGAATTATTAATCTCAACTTGTTGGTATTGAATAATTATCTTAAGCATAATGATAATTGTAATAAACATCACGTTATGAATTAACTATTATACATGGCGGATAAGAATTGTATGTATATTAATTAGTACCTATTTGAATCGTGATTGATGGAAAATTGTAATTGTTGTAAATAATTATTTACTTCATTAATTGTTAAAATTGATAATTGCAATAGTTAATATAGACAAAAATATCACGAAGTTTCTTTTTATGATATATGACCTATTATCACATTTCAATAAAATAAAATGCTGAATTTTTTTCCTAAAATTAAGAAAGTGTATGCTTTAATTCTTAAACAAAACATATATTTTCCAAAATTGGAGATTGAAAAAAAATGCTTGCAAAAGCTTCTGAAATCGCACTTTGTAAATTGATTGATTATTTGGAGTTAATAATTTAGGGAAATTGAAACATTTTTCAGTACTGCAGCGTTATTACAAATATAGTATAAAATGTATACATATATATAAATATATTATATATACATCAAGCTAATTCTCGAATACCATTATATAAATGCGATAGAATAATTAAAAACTATCAGATTTTTCCGGTGAAAATCTGACAAAAAAAAAATCGTCGCGACACTTTTGTGATAATCATCCCCTCCTTCGTTTTAAATATAGCCCATAATTAATCCATTTTGTATAGTGACAATTTTCTTAGATAAAGAAAAAACAATATTTCATGTCTCAGCATTGCCAAGGGGATCGAAGACTTTGAAAACAAAGTATTCAAGCTGATGTAACAAAACATTACCATCAAGTAAAATAGAACAGTTATCCATAACCTTGTGTTCTTTATTTATATTTAGAATAAGTTAAATTTTAATTTAAACAATGCCTATCAAAAAAAATTTTCATCCATTCAAAATTAATTAAATATCACTGGAAAATTCATCAAGAAACATTTCAAGGACAAAGGGGGGAAATAAGGGGGAAATGGAACACAAGAATTTCTCTCAATATATATCAATAAACAAAAAAAATCTCTTACCTTATACTAGAGAAGTTTACCTCTTGATTTTCTTGAAAATCTTGAAAAACTGATGCAAAAAAAAAAAAATGTAAAATTAAACACGTGAAAAGGCAGAATAAATTTCACAGCCGGCAATGCATAAACATATAGGTTATCACAATAAATTCACAAAACTCGTTTAATTCATATAAACTTTTCGAAATTTGTATATTAAAGTATTCACTAAACTTACTGAATTATTTAACGAGTAATCTTTTGATGAATTAACACTTATTTTCGAGATAATGAAAGAAATTTGAGAGAGCTAAACTTCGCGCGGGCGATTAGAGCGACGACATCTTTTATCTGTTGAGAATTGGCAGGCAACACTTCCGGTAGATTCACGGTTTGCACAGGAAATTACTTATATTATACTTTATTTAACAAACGATTCATTAGTTCTTCATCAAATAAAACACACTTCCCAGTTATGATATATCACATTAATATTTATTGGTCATTCTTTATAAATAAAAAATTGAAATATGTTAAAATATTCTCGTATTATTTGAAAAAGTAGAATTTACCCGCCATGCAACTTCAAGCTATTGCCAATAGATGGCGCGCAAGAAGCTATCAAAAAATAATTTTTAATTTTTTAGTATTTTTTATTATTTATATGCAATAATTATAACAAATTCAACATATTTTGTAATTAGAATATATTTCCGGTTATGATAATTGATTAATATTTAAGTAATATAGTCTAAATTAATAAAAAGACAAAATTAAAATATTCCAAAATCGAACATTTAAATATGTATAACTTCCCGCATAATCGATATCGAATCTGATTGGCTGAAAAATTCTCAGCATTCATTGTGCCAAGATGGCGTCGAAGTAGTTGTTTGCAAGTAGTGTTGTCTATTTTTTTTCACTTTTTTCGTCATTTAAAACTAATAATTTATCAAAAGTGTACGTGTGTCGTGATTATTAAAGCTTTTCGGTTATAGTGATATATTAGAATATGGGAAATATCGCGAAAAATATTGTTTATTGAGCAAAAGTAAAATTGACAAGCAGCATGTAGAGAATTCCGGCCGGTCTTTTCTTTTCACATCGTATTTTGCACATTATTCAAAGTATTTGCATCAGTCAGTGGGGTAGAAAACTAAATTTTATTGAAAAAATTAGATTATTTCGGAATATAGAATATTTTTAAATTTTCTCGGAAGTAGGAATCGGCGCTGTTTGATAGTTCCCAATTTTTCAAGATGGCGTCGCAATCAGTCGAGTCGGAGTAAAATCGCGCCAAAAAGACGTTGATTCGCGATAATGTTGATCGTTTATTTTTGTTTTATTTCTTTCTAAGTTTATAATTTTAGTTTCAAAAGAATAAGCTTATTGATGTGTAAAATAAATTTCGTAATTTGTAGTAAAGTATAAATTTTCCGGAGAGTGTAAATTCAAGTGCTTTTGTAGTGAATTTTAATATCGGATCCAAGTGTATATAAACAAAATTGACCGCTTGTGTTTACGAATTTTGAATCTAAATATAAAGTATTCAGAGGTGAGTTTGAATAATGATATTCAATTTACTTGTATTTTGTTTAAATTACCAATCAATTGCATTTATTATATTTTAACATCGAAAACCTAACCTTACAATGTTAGTTTTACAAATTGATTGTTTTCAGAAAATAATATTTGCAGTGTTTTTTTCAGTTTTAATAATTGTTATAGTAATTTTGTTATTGATTTATTATTTATTTTTCAGAATTGAATATATTTATTCCTAACTAATCTGCCATTGGATGTACACGCAGAACTAAAAAGAGAGATTTCCTAATATTTCCGCCTCTTCTTCTTTTATTGACGAATTCAACAATGGTGAGTGATTATTTTTTTGTATAATTATTTTACATATTTTGTTTTTTATTTTTTCTCTACATTACTATATTTAGAAAACATAACCTATAAATTCAAAAACTAAAAATCAAACTTTACAATTTTTCATTCCTGCAAATTATTTATAAATTGTAAATATTTTGTGGTATTTGTTAATATTTTTTAAATATTTAATAATAAAACAAATTTAAATAATTCTACACAAAAAAATATTAATTAAATTTGATTTTTAACAAATTCTTTTTTTATGTCAAGAATTTTCTTGTATATTCAAGAATCGACTAATTTAAATTAATAATGAAATAAAATGAATTAATTTAAATAAAATTTTATTTAAATTGAAAATAATTATTTCTACTTTTAAAAATTTAATTCGCAACCCTTGATGGATATTTTATAAATAATTTTAATTGTTTTCTGTCTGCTTAATGTTTTCATATTGTTTTTAAGATTCAGTTTGGTTATTCAATTTAGTCTCTTCAAACATATCATATCTGTCGCAAATTGTTGAATTCTCTTATTAGCCACACACTTCGAGATGCACGAGATTTTATTATCTTCGTGGCGTGATATTTTGATTCACGACATCCCGGAAATGAGAACTCGTGACGCGAATGTGCCAGGATCTTCTCTTTGGTTGGAGAATATACATCTAAAGCCGCATAAATCATCGCAACAAAGCGTCCGTGAGTGTCTGCATTCGCGAGCATTAAAGGGTTCAAAGTCGTACTTTCGCCCGCCCTGAGGGCGCGGGAGCGAAAACTTTGTATCATATTTTGCACTTATATATGTATATATATATATATATATACTCCAAAGAGAACTCTGATAAAAACTCATGACAATGGATTTTGCTCTTATTGAATATATATATACAGTGCAAAGTGAGTTTCTAAGATGACGATTCGTACTACATCTTGATCTCCTGAGCCTTGGAGACAAAAGACATTTCCCAACGATTCACCATTACTAAATGGTACCTTATAGTGGAGAGACACAACTTTCCTTTCTCATGATGTCCAACTTTTAGTTTGACCTTTAATACCATTTCATGATAAAGTTATGTAAAATTCTTTTTAGAATATTTTGTGGATCTTGATTTTGATTTGACAATTCTTTTCTCTTCTTAACTGGAAAGAAATGTTTTTTAAAATATTGTAATTAAATTAAAAATTAATTCTTCAATTTTTTTTTTTGTCACATTTAATAATTTTTTCATTATTTTAAAAGTATTTGGAAAAAATGAAAGATAATTAAAATTGGAATTAGAAATTAGTAATTTACAGCTTTTTGAACTCCTTCTATTATGCAACCCAGAGTGCATGGTGTTGTTTCCAGTTGTCAGTACTAAGGGGCAGTTAGATTACTCTTTTTTCACGTTTAAAAAAAGGAAAAAAAAAATTTTTAATAATTCTTTTTCGTTACACTTTGCAATTTTTATAGATGAGTAAATTTTTTTTTTATTTAAAAGGCGAATTTTAAGACGTGGCATTGCGATCTATTTAAAATTGAGGGTCTTAAATATATTTTTTGTTTTTTTTGTTTTTTTGACCCTCGTGAAATTTGAAAGCTGTGTTAAATTCATGGCTGTTATTTTTCAAACTAAAAAGCCAATAGGTCAGGGATAACTTGGACAACTCCTGCAAGTCTTTAATCTTCTTAAATCGTTTAAGTCGCACTCAAGTTTTTAAATATAGGATGTAAAAGTCAAAAAAACATTTAAGTTTTAAAAATAAATTACAATTCAAATTTAATTTTCTCTTAAATTTCATTATTTAATAGAATTTTAATATTTTTTTAAATAAATTGTTTAGTAAAAAATTCTATATTAAATTAATATAGGGAGATTGTAGAGAAAAAAAATGTAATAAAAGAGATCAATGAACTTTTGCCGGAAGTTAAATGAAAAGAATATGGTGGTCGATCATTCGCCATCGGCGGGTGGTCGACGAAACTGTTTTATACAATAATGTTTTTTTATATATAAAATACATATACAGAAAGAATGAAAAGTAAAAAAAAAGAGAGAGGAAAGAAAAAAGATTGACTTGATTTCGATTGCATAATGTAAGTCAGTCAATTTATCGGGATGTCACTGTCCATCGTTGGTTTGAAAACATGTTGTTAGAAAATAATGCTGATACATCCTCAGGGCAGAACCCTCAACTTCTATAGGGTTGTCATGTGTCTGCATATATAGAAAACCGGAAATGCAATCTATAAATCAAAACAAAGTGCAAATTTTTCTATTTTGAATTAAAAAGTTTAAAAAAAAAAAATTACAACAAAATGATATATTAAAATTTTAATAGAGTAAATTTAATATCCGCTGTATATAATATTAAATTTTCAAAATGAGTTCACAAATAATTGCTCGTTCTATATAGTTGAAAAAGCGAAAGCACTTTCAATATTGTATATATATTCTCCCTTATAGTATTCATTTTATATTGTATCAGTATCAATAGATCCTCAATAGCCAATATTTTGCAATCCTTTTCTTCGTCAGGATCTCATTTCAATTTCACATTTCGAGATACGAAAAACCATTATACGATCGGTTTGCACGAGAAGAAAATAATGATAAGTAAGGCACTGGGAAAGAAGTATCATGTAGTTGCTAGTAAGAATAAACGATATATTGATTAGAGACCTAATTAGCATAAAGCCGAGTGGTTGTGCGTGCCATCGTGCCATTCATCACAGTGGGTGTGAGAGTGAATGAGCTGATGCGAGGAAAAACAGTAGAAATAATAAAAGTTACAAAAAAAAAAAATGATCTGTACGAAATTTTATAAAACATGTGTGCATAGGGATCGTTGGTGATCTGAATGGCTCTCTTTTTCTCTTCTGTTTAACGAGATGTAGTTAGGAGGTTTATACTCTTTGACTCAAGTATCTTTCTTTTTGGTCCTCTTTTGTCAGATTTCAGAATAAAGAGCTTGGAATTCACGATGGCATACAATGCGCGACAAACTCGAAGAGCCTGTTCCATTTGGATTAAGTCATGAAGCTTGGAATGTGTCTTGGGTTATATATACTCAAAGTGTAATTAAAAGTACATTCAGTATTTGTCGCTCTACTTTCTCTGGGCATATTTCTTTTTGCAAAAATTTTCGTCAATTCAAATTATTATATTCTTCAATTTATTCATATTTATAGAGATATTTTGAGTATCGCATCTTTAACTTAATTTGGTGGACCATTGTCCATTTTCAGTTTTGAATATCGATTATTCTGCGATTCATCCTCTGACAATGAGAATTCACTCTTGAGTGACGTTTTCGAAATTCAAAGAGAGATTCTATGAATCCTCATCCAGCGAGAGGTTCATCGAATGCATAAATAAAAATAACGAACGGAAAAGAAAAAGAGTAATTATGACTTTAAGTATCATAGAAGTTGAATCTTTTTTTAGGGAGGAACAATGACTTCTCTGTCAAGAGGGAAAAAGATTAATGAACTATTTTTATTAAAGTTCTGATTCTTTTCTCTTGAAAGATTATATTAATCAATAATAATTTAATTATAGAAAATATTAAAAGAAGATTGTTTTAAGAAAAATTCTTGACGTGGGTTTTAACAAAAAAAAATGATAGAAACTGAAATGAAGAGGATTTATTCTTTGTTTTATTAACAACATTGCAAATTTCATATACGTTTTTTTTTCCTCCAAGCAATGTTTGTTGAATAAGTTTTCATGACTTCTAATTTTAAATAACCGGATTGTGGGATTAATTCGTTTGACTGGTACCACCAGCAACATTGTACCTCGCGTGTAGCAACGATTGGTAGTAGGCCTTCTTCTATACCAAGAAATTCGCAACTCTTTAGTCTGTACATACTTTAAAACCCTCGTACGTAGAATTGTGATGGCGGCCTTGCTCGCAAGCGTAACTCGTCGTTCGATCTCCATTGCAGCTGCAATCTCAGTCCATGTCAGTCGTTACTCAACTGTCTTCGCCATCGAACTCATGTTCATTTTTGTCGTTTTTCTTTCTTCTTCTTCTTTAACTCCTCCCACTCCTTATCTTCTTCGTCTACTTCTTCTTCTTCTTCTTCTTCTACTTCTTTTAAGGCACGCGTTATACTTTCGTTATAGATGCAATTCAAGGTCTTTGAAGGTGAAAATAAGCGAGTAGTATACTTTTAACGATATATAGATTAATAGCCTTCAGTGTATATTTTTGCATTTCTTCTCGATTTGATATAAAACGAATTTTCATTTTAAAAAAATTGATTTAAACGGTACTGATAACTAGAAACAATTAACAACTGTAATTATAACTTCTATGCACTAACGGTCATAAATACTTTTCTTCAGCGCATCAATGTTTCATATATGTATTTTGATGTGAACTAACCTATTTGAAAAGAAGGCGTTTCATGACCGTTAGTATACATATTGTATGTATCATTTGATCATTTATTTCTTCATATAATTTAGAATAAATGAAAATTTATTATATTTTAATTTATTTTTTAAAAATTAATATTTATTAAAATTTAAGATTAAATTTAAAAATTAATTAAAATTTTCTTTTTTTTCATAAAAAAAAAATGAAGTTTTAAATGTATTATTCTCAATTTGCATTGCTTTTGCGATGTTTTAGCCGATGAACTCGGAAATGGCGTAGGTGTTGATTCTTTAAAGTATATAGGGAATATTTATAGATAAAAATTGAAATTTATTGTTTTCAGATCTTTTTTTTTGTATTTGTATACAAATAACAAATATCGTTGAATTTATATCACAAAATTTAGCATAATTATTAGAATATGCTAATCAATAGCAAATCTCTATTGTAAAATTATTTAGACTGAACAATACTCAATATAATCTGATTGATATTTATGGCTTTTGTAAAACTATCGTCACATTTTCAATTTGCTATAGTCTCTTTGACGTTTATGATTTAAATAACAAATTTGATTTTTTTGAACGTGACAACGTTTTAATTCGATACACTGAAAAAAATATTCTGGTTAGGCTATATTTAACATTACTTTCTAGTTATGTTAACCAGAATTCTAGTTGAATTAACTAGAATTCTCGTTAAAATAACCAGAATTCTGGTTAACCTAACCAGAATCAAAATGTTAAATATACCCTAACCAGAATTCTGGTTATTCTAACTAGAATTTTTTTTCAATGTAGATAGGAGTATAACTATAAGTCATATTTTCAAGATTTTTGTGTTATTCGATTACTTTAGGTTTAGTCTCGATGCCATACTTATTTTTATCAAATTTGGAAATAATTATTTTTATAGTTTTCTATATTACCGACCGGTTAAAATTTTAACTCCTTGTTAGTACAGCGCTGATAGTATTTTAATTTTTCTTTTTGCAGATTCTATCCTCGATGGCATCTTATCTTCAAGGACACAGAATTCTTCATATTTTGACTTTTTAGAACTCGGTCTATTTTGACGGTTATTTTTCACATTTTCTGAATGGAAATTTAACTTGAAAGTAGGGATCTCCGAGGGCTATTTAGTTTGAAATAATCTTCTGGAAGCAGAATCTCCTGGAAGCTGAAAATTCGTTATTAAGGTAAATATTTTTATGGAAATATTTTTATTACAAAACAAATTTAGTTGTATTTTTTCTACATTACCGATCGGTTAATGATTTAACATGTTAGTACAGCGCTGACTGCTGTCACTTTGTTTTGTTTTCGTGTTGTTATTTGAGGGAAAAAAATGTGTAGTTTAAATTAAAATCAATTATTTTTATCTTAAAATAAGATCTTCTTTTTCACTGTGATTTTTCAAAATACGGATATTTGATATTTTCTTATATATATAATAATAAGGATAAATTTTATTGCAACGACATTCCAAACACTTTTAAAAGAATTTTTTGAAGCATCATTGATATTACTGGTCAAAGCGATTCGACGATAATACACCTATTGAAATGGCGCGCTTAACTTTTTTTTTTTTATTTATTTTTATTTATTTTTTTTTTTTTGCCTGACTGAGAAACGTGCGCGAATCTTGCAGCACCATAATAAGCAAAAGGGCCGACTTGTCGTATAGCCGTCCACTCGGTAATGGTGGCACAACCTGACCACGGTGTATAGTCACGTTGTAGAAGCCTGAGAGTTCGTAAGAAAGCGAACTCTACAAGGAGGAACTCAGTCCGAGATCGGTTAGCAAAGTCAGAGAGGAGAGAGAAAACCGGGCAGTCCTTCTCGGCGCGTCGTGCAGGCCCTACGTGCTTTTATTACCCGGTGAGACGCCGATCTTCAAAGTGGTACCTGTCTTCCCTATAGTAGTGCTATATATATATGAAAGTTATTTAGAAAAATGTTTATTTAAAAAAAAAACTTTCACCAATAAACTTTATACATTAAAATGAAGTTTAAGGGGGGTTCTTTTTTTAAGTGTTACCAGTGGAAAAAAAATATTAAAACTATTAATGCTAGTGAGGTATGTTAATAACTAAAAATTATTTCGATTAAACTGATGAAAAAAAAACTATATGTGTCTGACTTGAGAAAACCGCGCGCGGAACTTGGTTCTTCAACTTGAACTTGGTGCAATAATGCGTTCCGGAAGCAGGAGCAGCAGACCGAATCCAACCTGAAGTAAACGTGCGACCCTCGCGAATATTAACTACCAGTGAAGTAACATCGAAAGGCGTTTTTCAATCTATGGTGTGTGGGGGACCCTCTTTTACGCTTGATTGAATCTTATTTTGAAACTATCGTTCACAGAAGCTAGAGACCGAAACAAAGATTCAGTTCTTATAATAAAAAAAAAAAAAAAGACACAGAAAAAAGTCGAGATTCAAGGTCTTGGGAGGTTTCAAGTTTTGAGGTACCTGGGAAGGACTTGATAAACGGAAATCGGATCGTAATATCAGTGTGTGTTTGCATGAGAGAGAAAGAGAGATCCTTTCTTTTAGGGTCTTGGACTCACGACCGGTAGAACCAGAGAAGAGACCGGTCGTTCGACTCTATATATACGTTCACTCACTCTCGTGCGTACGATATATAGTGTTACGTAATGTTACTCACCCCACGCACGCGACTCCATAAACAATATCACCGGAAACAATATTCTTAACTTGGAGGAAATTTAATTTCAATAATAAAATAATATTTTTATTATAAAAATTTGCTTATTGAAAAATCATTTTTTTCTCTAAACAAATTTTTTATTTTAAAATTCAAATTTAGATGATGATGATGATGATGATGTGGAGATCTTTCGACCTTCGGAATCGATCTCAATTGTTGATCGACGGCATCAGATTCTAGGACTCTATATAGGATCCGTTATAGGTTAAAGAGTGCACCGAGGGTGAAGAGTACAGATCGTCATGATTATCTTTAATCTGGGTTTGAGAATATTGATGTGTTTTTGTTTCACGGACATTCGCATCTTCACGAGGGATAAAATAAAATAAAATAAAAAAAAAAGAAACACGAAAAAAAAAAAACGATTGAATATCGCGTCTTTCTGCAAAAGTCTACATGCCATAGAAGGATGTATCGAAAAGAAATGGATGACGCGTTGCGGAATGGTCCCCCTTTGGAGCAGTGGTTCTCATTACGCTCGCTTAATGATAAGGAGGAAAAACGATCCTGTACATTGGGCAGTGGTGCTCTTCGTTTTATTCGCACGCGAAATAGCATCAGACGCGAATTGAAACGACACTGCAATCGGTATGAATTACAAAAAAAATTTTTTTTTTTAATCACAGTAAAAAAGAATGTCTTATTTTAAGTTAATGATTCTTATTTTCAGTTGTAATATAATATATACCTAATAATTTTTTGAATTTAAGATAGTTCTGAAAATCAGTAACCCTTGCTGAATTTAAGATATGTAATTAGATTTTAAAATCTGCATACAAAATTAAGATCTTAATTTTATGCAATTTTATGTTTTAAATTAAAATTAATCTTGCCTTTAAGATTACTTTAATTTTAGGCGTATTTTAAAATCAGATTTTTTTTTTAAATTTTTGTTCTGCATACAGAGGATCTTTATGCGGCGAATATAATAAGCATTGTTAAACATATATCCTTGATCTTTATTTGATTTTTTATAAATTAATTTCATAATATAAAAATTGCTCATAAGATTGATGACTTCACGATCATAATTCATTATTATACGGACTATCAATTATTTTATGCCTTTGGATAGCTTGCGCCCTCTCTCAAAAAATTACGTAACCTTTGCTAAAAATGAGATAAGAATGGGTATCACTATATATGGTTGACAAAAAGGTATTATAAAGAAAGTTATGCAATATATAGAAGAGCGATTCGCTTATTTCTTTTCTTAAAATTTTTTTTCAAGAGAAATTATAATAATATGCAAATGAAGACAATAAAAATTATGCGCATGTAAAGAAATGCACTAAAAATCAATGAAATATATATATAGTAATACATATAAAACAATTATAATAATGAAATAAATAAATTTAATTATTTTATATATCAAACTTAGAATTTTATCTTTATTTTGTTTCTTTATATATATAAAGAAGTCGTTCTTGGAATAAGTTACTGACCATTTTTCTTATTAAACACCGGGGTTTAGAACTATTCCACGTTGCTTTAAGCTTCGTGAGACCTTAACACGACTGTTCAAAGACGTTACATTCTTCCTTCTTTAAAAAAAACCATTCATTCCCAACAATTGTTTACTGGCACGAGAGACCACAGAAAAGGACCCATGGGATTCTATGTGGAATGAGTTGTATTCCCATAGTTTTACAGGAATGGAAAAATAAATTTTATAATATAGACATTGTCATTTAAATGTTGCTAAATTTTAAATAAAAAAATTTTTTTAAATAATTAGAGCGTAAAAAAAATTGCCCTAAGATCCAAGTTAGTCTTGAAAATAAGATTAGTTTTAATTTAAACTGCTGTAAAACGTGAAATTAAGATTGATTTAAGTCTTAATTTAAAAAGCACTGTCTTAAATTCAGCACATACCTACCTGCTTCTTTTAATTTAACACATAAGTGCTGAAAATCAGCATTAATTTATTTAATATTTATAAATATTTTGATAAAAGGAATAAATGATTAAAAAAAAAGTAAACTACACATTAAATTTTTAGTTGAGAACAATAAGATAAAAACAGAGAAATTATTTTATTTTTCTACGTAATACAAAAAACTATCTATCTAAAATGCGGCGTTGGGAGAGCAATGAAATAAAAGCTTAACTCGGAAAAATCTTAGAATGCTTTGCTGAGAATCAATGCGCTCCAGTAGATAAAGTCTGTGTCCGGTCAGACTTCACTGCTGTGCGCAATTTTCTGCAACATTCTGAATAATCAGCATCTTTTTTGATAACGTGTACTAGAAACAAACGTTTTGATTAAAAAAAAAAATAATATTCAAATAATAAATAAAAATAATTATTAAAAAAAAAGATTATTATTATTAAAAATAATTTACAAATATTATTTATTATTAAAAAATATTATTCACCAAAAAAAAAAAATTATTATTACAAATAATTGTAGGTAAAAAACTTTTTTTTTTCGAAGGAAAATTTAATCATAACCCCTAAAATAAAAAAAATTGTGGAATAAAAGCGTTTATATGAGATAAAAAAAAAAGAGAAACAATTGAAAGTAATTAAATAACAATAAAACGATTGTAAAAGAAACAGATTCATTTTCATAAAAAAGTAAAAGTATTCTAGAAAAAGTCAGAGCAAGCATAATTCAGCTTTTAATGCATCCAAAAGCTGTGTCGTTGCCAATTAAGATTTTTCATCTTGACGTTTATTACCTTTTTATATATCGTCTGTACATAACTCTTCAATTTTAACTGCGCCGTAAACTGCAGGGCATTTTTAAAGCTCACAAAGAATTATTAAATTATTGAACTCGCAATATTTAATGATGGCAAACAAAGAAGACTATATAGCAAATGTGAATGAATTGAGCTCAATTTTTATTGAAAAACGAGAATTTAATATATTTGAAATATATATATATATATATATATATACGAAAGTTAAACAGGATATCAAAACTTCTAAATAATTATTATGCGAAAATGAGAGAAGTCATTTTAGAGTTTACGATCTTTTTTTTTAAACATTCTCTTGCGCATATTATTATATACGCTTTCGACTTTTTCTTTTTTTTTGAGAACGCTGTTTTCGTTATAAAAAGATGACATCAGGGGTATTAACAATCGTGGGCGGGATAAAAATTGTTTTCATGTACACTTTACAGTAAAACATGTAAAATGTATGTTTCTCTTTTTTTTTTTTAATGAAAGTTTAAAGGCGACGAATAATAATAAAAATTTATTTTGGCAGATGTATATAATAAATGATTTAACACATTTATAAAAGAATATATGGAGAAATTATTAATGTTTCTTTATTTGCAATTGTGGCCCCATTTGCATTGGTTAATTAACAATATCTTTTATTATTTTCCTTATAATATAGTTAAATGTCTTTCGATTTCTTCTATATATGATATGACTAAAACTTTACGCGACCAACAATCAAACAATATGGTGCAAAACATATTATTTCAAATTTTTTTTCAATTTTTCTTTAGAGAAAAAATTTGTCATATGAATTTAAATATACATACATATATAAGCCTTTTCAAATATTGTTCTCATATTTATATAAATTTTTTTGTACCTTCAATTTATATTTTACATATAACATACATTGAAAGGCGATTTCTCCACCTTATGCTTAACAAATAATCACCGTCGGTGATAATCATAAAAAAAAATACCCTACCTGTGTTTCAGAGTTTATCTGGGTGATAAATTTTAGGTGGTTACAGGTCGGACCTGATTTAACTGTTATAACATCCGTATTTCACAACGGTATGAATTTCATAATGATTTTATGCCCAGATAGATTATAGTTCACTATATAAGATATCTGTGAAACTCGAGAGCTTCCGTCCTCGAGTATGTCTAAGTCCTAAAATTTATTTTCCCCATACATCTCACATCATTAATCAACGTGTATGTTGTTGCTCCTATAAGGTCGCAATTCAATACAGGGTCGATATACTATTGATAACAGTTTAAAAAATTTTCTTTTCTTTTATCATTAGTAAATAACAAAAAATTACATCATCATTTAATAATTATCATATTTTTATAAGATTAATTGTTTGTCGAATCATGTCAAGATTTGTCCTTTATTTTTTCTTGTCACGAAAATTAAGTAATAATATATATTCATAAACCAGATATGATGACAAAATTTAAAAAGTAAAATATATAATTATCGTGTCATGTCCCAAATTCTCTTGTATATGTTTATTGCATGAAATTGAAAAAGATGTGCAACATGTTTTAAGGAAAGAAATCTGAAATGTATAACGACGAAGCGACGAGATGCATGACTAAGACACCTGGCGCTGTAAATTGAAAAGCTGTTATTCGTATGTACAATATGCCTTTTCGGCGAAACGCGGTACATGTTTTCTTTTTATGTTTTGGGCAACGTTTATATGTGAGTGCGGATCGCTTAAATAATCACCAAGTAAGAATTATCGCGACACGATTATTTCGTGTTTGAGATGAGAGAAGGAAAGAAGAGCTTCTGGACCACCGCGTAGTGCATTTATAACAAAGAGCGCGGCGCGCCGAGAGTAAAGCATTATGGGTGATCCAAGTTTGGTGTTTGTGAATCTCAAACATGCATTAATGTTTGCATACGTGAGGGGCAAAAAAAAACACACACACACACACATATACGTGCATGGAGTTGTCAAACACATTTATATATACTCACGCGAAACATTTCTACGTATGTGCGCGGCGCGCATTGGTAGACACATATGTCAAGAAACAGGCGTGTTGTTCGAAACACTTCCGTGTTGTTCGACTAATGAATCGCCTTCGTCGAGCCCTTACACCCTCGACAGAAAAGACTCACGATCACGTTATTTCCTTCTCTTATTCTCTTCTCGTCTTATGTCTCGTTCCCCCTTCCTAGGTTACTTTTCAACCTCTCTTTCTATATCATCTTCACTTAATTTTGCATCTCTCTGATATATTCACTGTTGTTGTTGTCGTTCTTTTTTTTCTCCTTTTGATCTTTTACCTCTTTTACATATATATTTATTAACCTTATACATGCAATTTTTGTATATATGCGTTCAATATATGCCGAAACGAGGTAGGCATATACACACTTGCCATATATGCCTTGGAAGATAATTTTTTTAACTTTCTTTGTCGGGGGGCCAAAACCTCATTGATTCAATAATAACTTTTAATTTTGAGTGATCATATAATTTTAATAAACACAACATGAATATGTAATTGCAAAGTTTCTTTTTACGTATACAGTAAACAAAATTCTGGCTGAGAAAACCTGAATTCTGGTTATTCCAACTAGAATTCTGGTTAAGGTATATTTAACATTATGATTTTGATGGGAATAAACTGGATTTTGTTTATTCCAATTAGAATTCTAGTTAGGGCATTAAAATTTTATGATTCTGATAGGGATAACCTGAATTCTGGTTATTTCAACTAGAATTTTAGTTATTTCAACTAAAATACTGGTTAGGGCATGTTTAACATTATGATTTTGATGAAAATAAACTGAATTCTGGTTATTCCAACCAGAATTTTGGTTAATTCAATTAAAATTCTGGTTAGGGAATGTTTAGCATTAAGATTCTGGTTGGATTT